CTCGGGCGTGTGCACTTTTTCTCGGCGGGGACTATTGAGGAGCATCCTGGATCATCCTGCGGAACAAGAAAACAAGAACACGCACTCAACCGAAACAAACACAGGGAATAGACGTCCGAGCGATGGCGAGTTAGAGGTGTATCCACTTCCTACTAGGACTCTATTAGGGGCGGGTGCACTTCGAATCGGATTCTATTCGAGGTGGATGCACCACTCATAGGATTCTAGTCGGGGTGGATACACCTCCTGATGGGATCCTGTTAGAGGTGTATACACCTCTATTAGGTTTCTAGTAGGGGTGGATACACTTCTAATCGGATTCTATTTCGGGTGGATACACCTCTAGTAGGGTTATATGTGTGGTGGATGCGCCTCGTAGGATTCTGCAAAGAATAGATGCATTTTTCGTAGTTTTATATATATATATATATAAAATGAGGTGGATACACCTCGCATCGGAATCTACTGGGAGTGGATACACCTCTAAGATGGTTGTATTTGAGGTGGGTAACCTCTAGGGGGATTCTATTGGAGGTGGATCCACCTCTACACCTCTAGCCGGGTTCTATTCAAGTGGGCCCACGTTTATGAATACATTAGTTAGGTGTGTATCCGCCTCCGAATAAAATTTTATTGGAGGTGTATCCACTTATGCACCTCGAGTGGGTTCTATTAGGGGTGCACACATCTTCAGTAGGAATCTGTTCGGGGCCGATGCAGTTTAAATGGGATTCTATAGGGGGAGACACCTCTATCATGTTTCTATTGGAGGTGGATGCACCTCTACACTTCTAATCTGATTTGATCAGAGGTGAACAACCTCTAACAGGATTCTATTGGAGGCGGATGCACCTTCAATCGGATTCGATTTAGGAATCGATTAGAGGTGGATACATGTGTGATAAGATGCTTGTAGAGGTGGATGCACCTCTAACATGTTTCTATTAGAGGTGGATACACCTGTAATAACATTACATTCCGGGTGGATGCACTTCTAGTAAGATCCGATTAGAACTGGATGCGCTTCTAACAGGGTTCTATCAGAGGTGTGGAAGTGTGGTGCGGTGCGGTGCTCCCCCCTAGCCCCGAAGGGGGCCTCTGAATGCCGGTGTTCCTTTTGTGGGGACGGCGGGTAAGCGAGGCCCTTGGCAGGGGACCCAGAACGCTGGTGTTGCCTTGTTCTTGTTATTGCTGGTATTATTGTTGTTGTTGTTGTTGTTGTTGATGTTGTTGTTGTTGTTGTTGTTGTTGCTGGTGTTGTTGTTTGGGGTGTTGTTGTTGTTGTTGTTCTTGTTGTTGTTGTTGTTGTTGTTGCTGTTGCTGTTGCTTGTTGTCGTCGTCCCCCACCGCGGCCCGGCCCGCGCCCCATCCGCGACAGACTGGCGACCCACCCGCGACCCATCCCGCGACCCACCTGCGACCCATCCGCGACCCACCCCGCGACCCGCCTGCTACCCACCCGCGACCTACCCGCGACCCAACCGCGACCCAGCCCGCGACCCAGCCTGCGACCCACCCGCGACGCACCCGCACTCCACCCCGCGACCCACCCACATTAGTTTAACGAAAAATCCGCGCCTGCGGCGGGCTCGTTGAATAATAATTTGTAAGTTCGGCGCCTGCGGTGGGATCCTTCAGAGCCTCGCAGACTGCCGACGTCCCCGCCGCCCCCCCACTCGTATCCGTATCCGCGACTGCGGGGTGCTACGTAATTTGTTTCAAATTCCACCTTGGATGCCCACCCAGGGTTTTGAACACTTCTGAGGCCGTACTCCACCCCTTCCCCTTCACACCTGCCCGTTCTGAACACTGAGTCGGATCACTAGTCTAAGGAGGAGAAGGTGTTGAGCCGGATGATGAGGATGATTCGATGGAGGACGCCCACCCAGGTCCCGCCCAGGTCGTCGTCACATGCTTTGCCGTCGCGCGTGAGCCAATCTGGGGGGTCACGGTTGCCCCAGCGTTGGTTCTTTGAACAAGTTCAAGACAGTTCCAAGACGGCCCAAGCGGGCCCCGAGGCGGCCCAAGAGACTTCCCAAAAGAGCCCAAGGCGCACCAAGAAGGCCACCAGAGAGTCCCCCAGAGGCCAGGACCATCAGTCTCTTCCAAGAGGCCCCCATGACGCCCCCACATTCAAGTAGATTCCCAGAGGCCCCCACCCAAACAGTTTCCAATAGAGTCCCAGAGGCTTCCCAAGAGCCCCCACGGAGTTTGGTCCAAAATCCGGATCCCCTTCGATCTTCGATCCTTCCCTCATCGGCCACCCCCCCCCATCTATCCCCTCCCCCTTGCCTCCCTCCAGTTGGTTTCTGGGGGCATGAATCGAGCCGCAGACGGCCGATCGGGGTGATTCGGGCTGGGAGGAGGGGGGGACGCGGGCAGGCCCAGGACTGCTCCGCCAGAATTTCATCACAGCGTCGTGGACTGCGCTAGAATCTAAGCGCGCGCGTAGTTGCAGTAGGCGCAAGGAATTGGAGTTCTTATCACTTCGCGTATCCACACAGGCCCATCTGGGAACGATGCTAAGGGGAGCTGCCTTTATCGGGGGAGCGTGGCATCCTTTGGAGAGCTCGGGGGGCTCCGTGTGCCAGGCTTCATGGATGCCTCTCGGAGTCTCTTGGAGGTGCCTCGCGGCCTTTTGAGGCGTTTTAGGATTGCCTGGCGGCTACTGGGGGCCTCTTGGAGGCCGCTTGGCACTTTTCATAGTTGCCCAAGGTTCCAATTACAAGTTAGATTGTCCCACGCTTCCGATAATGACTTGCAGGTCCATCATTACAGCTAATCGTTGCTCATTCGCCTTGCAGATCGTAACCCAACGTTTTTGTACCATGACCAGCTCGTGAACGTTTTTCGTAATCCAAAGCGCTCACTTCGGGGAGTTGATTAAATCCTTAACCTATGTTGACAGGCCGTACGCCACTACACCACGTATTCAACGATGCCCGTTTTGTCGCCACCAGCATGGACCGATCTCATTTGGTTGCGATTGGTGCCCAATAATTGCGTTCGGTCCCTTCTGGTTGCGATCGGGCGCCATCCCCCTCGGACCCTTTCCTCAGGGCTATTCAGAGTCGCGACCTCCTATAGCAGATGGTGCCAACTACCATGACGTGATACCAGCCTTTGATGTTTGTCGGTCCACTTTGTTCCATGTCGCTACCCGAAACTACAGCTCAGCAGCCACACTGCTGCACCACGGCTGCATTCTTGCGACAGTCTCTTCAGCACCCGAGTCGGTGCACATGAATTGTATGCGAACATGACACAACTTGTAAGCATGGACTGGAAGGGCAGAACCCCAGGCGCCCAAGACGGGCCGAGCGGGCCCAACAAGGCCCAATAGTTCCCGAAGGGGACTCCAAGACGGCCCAGACGGGCAAGCAGACACAAGATGGCCGCACGACGGGGCCGCATTCTCCCCGACTGCCAGAGAGGGCCTCCAACGAGGCCCCGAAAGAGGCGCAGGTATTTCATTTGCTCATTGCGCTTGCGCGATCAAGGGCTCCCATGAGGGCGCGAAGTTATTCGCGCTTCGCGCTTCGCGGTCCTCGTTCCTTCTCCCCCCTCCTCCTCGTCCTCCTTTTCTCCCTTTGGGGGGGCGGCGCGAGGGCGCGAAGTTATTCGCGCTTCGCGCTTCGCGGAGCGCGAAGCGCGAAGTTGGGAGCCCTAGGCGATGTTGGCACATTCGCCTTCTCGGTCTTCAGAGGTGGGCTGAGGCGGGGCGACGACGACGATGACGACATCGACGACGACTGCGCGGACGCGGGGCGACGACCGCGGCAACGGCGACGACGACGAGGACACAGATGACGACGACGAAGACGACAACGACCACAGCGACGACGCTAACGACGACGACGACGACCACGACGACGCTGACCTTGACGACGACGACGACGACGACGAGGAGGACGACGACGACCCTCGGGCAGGTTCGGCGCCCGTGCAGCCCGCGCCCGGCGCAGAGGCGTCGCCGGCCGCAGAGCAGCGGGCGCCTCTCCCCGCAAAGGGGGGGGGTATCAGGGGCAGCACCAGGGGTCATGCACCAGCGTGGCGCGCTGTCTTGCATATATCACCACCTACCAAACCACCCCAACCCAACCCGAAGGCCTCCATTTGCCCTCCATTTCCAGTGGGGGGGGGGTCGGGGAACATTGAGAAAACACGTATGGAACCCATACCCCCTCCCAACCCGAAATTTGGGTCTTCGGGTTGGGTTGGGGTGGTCTGGTAGGTAGTCATATAGGCCCGCCAAAGAATTGTCTCAGAGCCTCTTGTAGTTTTCGCGGCGTGTTCTTAGAACATTGTTGGCTGATGTCGTCTTGTGTTGATGCTTCGGCCTCGGGTTTAAGAATCTTGTTTTTTTTTAGAGCACGTCTTTGTTCTAAGAGAAGTTCCCTGGTAAACTCACAGGTATGCCGGGACGGTCGGTCGCTGCTCGAATGGGAGATTGTTGTTTATCTTCTGGCGCGTATCGACCGTTCATCGCCTTGAGTATGGACTTGTCCACGCGGTGACAGAGATTCAGAGCGGGGTTCAGATAACGTAACGGTGGTCAGCGCTAACGAGGGTCAGCTCGGGGTTCGGGAACCTTTTCGCCCTCCGCTGACCTGGGATTCGGAGCTACGAGGCGGCCGGCTGAGCTTCGCGACAGGGCTCCAGCCGACCTGGGTTTGGGCTGACCTGGTGCATTGCGTCCCCGACCAGATCGCACGCCGCCATGGCAGGATGGAGTCTGCCGCGATTGCTGCCTCCCTCTCGGAGACCGCCGACGGCGCAGTGGCACGGAGATGCGGGCCGGACCACCGTGCGTCCCCCCCCCTACGTTGGCCCGTGTTTGCCCCTCTCCGTGCTGCCCCTCCCCCCGTCCTCTTCCCCCAAGTTGCCCCCCCTGCCTTCGCACTCTCCCTCTCCGCGAGTCCCCCTTCTCTTCCCCCGCTCCACACTCCCGTCCTCGTCGCCCTCTTCCTCGCCCCCGCGCCACCTCAGCCGCCCCCCAGGCGCTGCCGAGCGCCCGCGACCGACCGGGGCTGCCGAGCGGGAGGCCATCTGCTTCATGGTTCTCCTTCTTCCCTTTCCTCCTCACGCCCCTGGGCCTCTTCCTGGTCTTGTGCTTCTCCGTCCCCTCCTGATCCATCCTCCTGCTCCTGCACCTCCCTCCGTCTCCTCCTCCGAATCCTCCATCCTCGACGATCGGGGTTGCGGGCTCCTGGACAACCATGGGCCTCCTTGCCAATCGTCTCCTGCTCCTCCTCCTCCTCCTCCTCCTCCTCCTCCTCCGTAGCCATTTTGGCTCAAGATGGGTTGCTCGGGGGGCTTTCAGCCTCCGTGCTTCACTGGATCGCACTACCGTGCGCAGGCAAGAGTGTGTGCACTCTGGCAGTCGGGCGGCCTCCTTCCAAACTCACGCGCGCCATGGCGGGGAGCGGCGGCGTGGGTGCTGGGCGTGGGGGAGGCGGCCGCGCGGCGTGGCCTGCGAAGTGGAAGTGCTCGGTGTGCGACTACTACAACTTCGCCGAGAGGGCGTGCTGTCGCAAGGGGTGCCAAGCTGCGGGGTGGCCAGCGCCGCGGCAGCTGGGCGCCTTTCCTCCGCTGCGGGGGTGGCCTGCAGGCGGCGGCGGTGGTGGTGCTCCTGGCGGCGCTGGCGGCGGGCGCGGCGGGCGTGGGGCAGGCGGCGGCAAGCCTCCCACACGTGCCCCGTGGTGGCGAGGCGGAGAAGGTGGCGGCCGTGACGCTGGTGGCGCCGTGGAACTCAGCGAGGAGCAGCGCAGTGGCTTCGTGTGCATGGCAGAGGCCGACTTCGCCCTCACCGCCGCGCTCCTGGCCCCGAAGGTCCGCGAGCAGCTTCTGCAGGCACGGAGGCTGCGTGAGGGCGGACTGGGGGCCGAGCTGTCCAAGGACAAGACGGTCAAGGCGGCCCAGGTGCAGGCGGACGCCAAGGTCTTGCAGGTCAAGAAGTTGGAGGGCCAGCTGGAGCAGGCAAAGGCCAAGGCGGTGGCGGCCATCAACGAGTCGGCCAGCCTCGCGGACAAGTTGGTGCTGCTGCGGAAGGAGTGCGACGAGGCGGCGGCCAAGGCACGCGAGGCGCTGGCGGCTCAGCGCACCAGGGTGGCGGCCGAGGAGGCTGAGGCGGCGGCAGCAGCCGCCGAGCCGAGAGCAGCACCAGCAGCCTCCCTGGAGTCGATACAGGAGGCGATCGGCGGCTTGTCGAGGGACGAGATCGCGAAGCTCGGGAAGGTGTTTGCGGAGCTCAGCGGCATGCCAGGCGCCGCCGCCGCAGCGTGGGCGCCTCCCCGTGCGCCTGTGGCAGCGGCGGTCCCTGTGCCCTCGGCGGTGCCAGCAGCAGCGCAGCAGGTGGACGCTCCCAAGGAGGAGGGGCCTGGCGTGTCGCAGGCGGCGCAGCAAGCGTGGCAGGACATCACGTGCGGGATTGAGGACCCCGCCAAGAGGGAAGCAGCGGAGCAGTTGCTGGGCGACGCCAAGAAGATGCGGACGGAGGTCAAGCAGATGGAGGAGGAGTCCTAGCAAGAAGTGTGGGGTCTGGAGGATCTGCACGGTCAACGTCAATGCGTTCAGCAACCTTGGAAAGTGCATGGCGGTGAGTGAGGTGCAGGGGACGAGGCTCCTGGAGGGAAGGAGCAGTGATGCGGAGGCGCAGCTCCGCAGCCAAGGGTGGCGGGCGAGAGGCACGCCTGCAGTGCCGTCAGCGGCAGGAGGCCTCAGCACAGGAGGCCTCCTCACCATGGTGAGGAGGAGCCATGGCATGGCGGAGGTGCAGGACCAGCAGGCAGCGGTGCTGGTGGCAGGGCGAGTGCACCTGTGTTGGGTGTCAGGCGTGCTGAGCAGCGGCTTCTTGCTCGCCAACCTCTACCTGGAGGCGGGGGTCGGCCTCAACGATGGCAACGTGGCCAGCCTCAGGAGGCTGGCAAGGAGGTTGAGGCAGTGCCGCAGGGACTTCGTGGTGGGCGGCGATTGGAACCTCACGGAGGAAGAGTTGCAGGCAGGCGGGGTGCCCGACATGTTCGACGGCAAGGTGGTCAGGCCCGCCTCGCCCACGTGTGCAGCGTCGGGGAGGACCATCGACTTCTTCCTGGTGTCCAGGGGGCTGGCTGCGCTGGGTGCGCGGGTGGTGGAGGCCTCGCCAGTGTACCCGCACTCGGCGGTGATCCTCGAGATCCGCAGGCAGCAAGAGGAGGAGCGCTTCAGGCTGGTCCAGAAGCCGCGGACCTTTCCTGAGGTTCGGCCGCAAGGGTGTTGTGAGAGAGACCACGGCAGCAGCTGGAGGCAAGCCAGGATGAGGGTGCAGGAGCAGCTCGCGTCGGTGCTGAGGTTCGAGGGTGAGGCCGCAGCGAGGAGCACCCCACGTGCTGAAGAGGAGGCCCCTCAGCCCAGCAGCAGTGGTGGCGCAGCAGGTCAGCGCGCAGCTAGAGCTGGCCTGGAGATTCCCAGGCCAGTGAGGGGCAAGGGAGCTGAAGGGGTGTCTGCGGCGGAGAGATGGGGACCACTAAGCAGCGTGCTCCCGATCGCATCTGCGCCGCCGTCTTGCGTGACGGACGTGAATCTGATGAGGTGCTGCGTCCAGCATGGCGAGGAGTGGCAGAGCATCCTCGACAGCTGCGGGCTACGGCGAGAAGTTGGCGCGGAAGGGCTCGGCGCTGCACCAGGCGTTGAGGACCAGCCAGCGCACCCCGGGGCCCTGGCGCCAGGAGCGCAGGGCACCGACGCAGCGGAGAGGGGGCAGCAGCGCCGCGGGCAGCGCTGTGCAGGAGGCGCAGGCGGACATCCCTCCCCATGCTGGGGCTGGCAGTGCACCTCCGAGCCAGGCACCGTACGGAATCGCGGGTTGTCCCTTTCAGGTTGATGCGGCTGAAGGAGTGCACGTGAGGCCCCCCAGCCTCTGGGTCGAGAAGAGGCAGGCAGCCTCTGCCGCTGAAGAGGAGGCCCCTCAGCCCAGCAGCAGCGGTGGCGCAGCAGGTCAGCGCGCAGCTGGAGCAGGCCAGGAGCTTCCCAGCCCAGTGAGGGGCAAGGAAGCTGAGGAGGTGCCTACGGCGGAGAGATGGGGACCCCTAGGCAGAGTGCTCCCGATCGCACCTGCGCCGCCATCCTGCGTGACGGACGAGAAGCTGATGAGGTGCCGCGCCCAGCATGGCGTGGAGTGGCAGAGCATCCTCGACAGCTGCGGGCTACGGCAGGAAGCTGGCGATGAAGGGTACGGCGCAGCGCCACGCGGCGAGGTCCAGCCAGCGCACCTCGGAGCTCAGGCGCCAGGAGCGCATGACGCCGACGCAGCGGAGAGAGGGGGCAGCAGCGCCGCGGGCAGCGCTGCGCAGGAGGAGCAGGCGGACAGTCCTCCCCATGCTGGGACTGGCAGTGCACATCCGAGCCAGGCACCGTACGGAAACGCGGGTAGTCCCTTTCAGGTTGAAGCGGCTGAAGGAGTGCACGTGAGGCCCCCCAGCCTCTGGGTCGAGAAGAGGCAGGCAGCCTCTTCGGCGGGGCAAGCCCAGCGCCTGCAGCAGGACGGGCAGGCCCAGGGCGCGGCGGCGGAGGGGGCTAAGGGAGCCCTCACAGCCGCCTTCGCCACCTTCCTGGAGTGCGCGGAGGACGAGTGGGTCGACGTATACCAGCTGGAGGAGCAGAGGGCCAGGTACGTTGGCAGAGCGGACGGCTTCTCCACCAAGCTGGTCAAGCGCAGCGGGGTGCAGGACCCCAGGTCGCCGAGGCTCACGCCAGAGGCAGCGTGGATGGCCAGGGTGGCCAACGCGCTGGGAGCCATGGCGCAGCTGAAAGCGCCCAGGGCCAGGGTCGACGCGATCTGCTACTTGCCCCAGCTGGTGGCGGCGGCCCCGAAGAGAGTCAGGAAGCTGCAGCAGGACGAGGAGGCCCGCCCAGGAGAGGGAGGCGGCACCTCCTGCAGCACGGAGGCTGGGCGCTGGCTGAGGATGTTGCAGCATGGGGGCCTGGCGTGCTGGCACCCCCTCCTACTCGAGAGGCTGGCCGACCGCGCGAAGCAGCACGCCAGTCACCTCGCCAAGCGCGACGTCGACGAGAGGGGCAGGCAGTTCGACGAGTGGGTTGGCAAGCAGCTCACAGGAGGAGCGGCAGGGCTCCACGCGGTCACGCGAGTGGCGGTGGGCTGGCAGGGCAGCGACTGCAGCATCGGTGCTGGACCCAGCAGCCTGAGCAAGGAGCTGGACGACCTCGAGAAGGAGTGGAGCAAGATCTGGAAGGTGCAGTGCAGCCACGCCGAGCTGGAGTGGCCGTCCGATCTCGGTGAGCGCCCCCCCAGGCCCAGCTGCGAGGTGATGCGGGCAGTCCTGAGGTCCTTCAGGAAGGGCACGGCCACGGGATTCGAGGCGATCAAGCCGAGACAGCTGCTGGAGCTCAGCGACGAGGGGATAGAGACTCTCATCGACATCGTGGTGGCGGTCGAGCAGGCTGCGGAGTGGCCGCAGATCCAGAGCAAGATCGTGTTCTTGGCCAAGAGGCTGGGCGGCGTGCGCCCCGTGGCCATTGTGCACGTCCTCGCTAGGGTGCAGACGAGGCTACGCAAGCCCCTGGCTGAGGAGTGGGAGCGCAAGAATGATCGGCCCTTCTTCTGGGCGGCGCGCGGCAGAGGCTGCGAGAGGGCGGTCTGGCAGCAGGCCGTGGAGTGCGAGTGGGCGACAGCGAAGGGGCGCGAAGCTGGCGATGCATCCAGCTGGGTCGCGGCCCTCATCCTCCTGGACCTACTCAGGCGTGCGAGCAGGTGCAGCATGGGCGCCTCATCCAGGCCGCCCAGCGGACGGGCTTCCCGCTCTGGCAGCTCAGGCTGCAGGTGAGCTTGTACCGTGCGCCCAGGTGGCTGGCGCGGGACGAAGCCGTCAGCAACGCCATCAGCACCGAGCAGGCGGTGCTGCCTGGAGACGGGCTGGCGACGCTCATGCTCAAGATGCTGCTGCTTGAGCCGCTGGACAAGCTTCAGGAGCTGGTTCCCACGCTGGCGATTTCGGTGGTCGTGGATGACATCATCCTGAAGAGGGTGGGCGGCTTCCAGCGGACAGT